GGCGAAATTAGGCAGTTTATCTTTTACCTCCGAACGCAAATGAGGAGTGGTTTTGAAGACGCAGCGTAATTCTGTAGCAGGGAATGCTCTTCGCTTTACTGCATTTCTAAGGCGCTGTGTTAGTATCTCTCTGGTGTTGTCCCCAAGGAACTGCATTTGTAAGAATAAGGCCTTTTCAGGAACTGTTGGTACCTTAGGCTGCTTTGGTTTCAAATTCATATTCTTAGCAATAAACGTTTCTGGATAACCATTTCCACTCAGGAACCGTTTAATATTCTTAAGTTTCTCATCAAGAAATTCATCCGAGCAGATTGCTCTTGCTATGTGTCGGACCAAGCACTTTATCAAACTGCGTTTGTATTTCAAGGGCCCTAGGCTGAGAAAATGATTATACTGACAGTCAGTTGATGTTGATTTTCTATATACACTTCTTCGTATTGTGCCATCCTCTTTTCTGGTCATAAGGACGTCGTCTAGAAATGAAGAAATACCAGAGTCTCTTTCTTTCTCAATAGTAAAATTTACTGCAGGCTAAACCTCGTTAAATTTGTCCAGAATGTTCTTTGCTTTCTTTTCATATTTCATAATCAAAAATGTATCATCCATGTACCGACAACAGAATTCAAGTTCATAAATAACATGTTTCAAAGACCCAGCTTCTAGTTTCGCGAGTATTTAAAACGTTTACAACCTACTGACTTGCAAGTTTCTATTGAACTTGAGAAAAAGCATTATCCAGCTGGATGGATGGCAGCTTATCTGAGTATGCGAAATAACTGTTCCTGGGTTGTGCCATTGGCTCACAAAATGTGCTGCTGTAGGTTTTTTTATAATCGGAATTCAACTAAATGCCGTACAATTCTCGGAAGAGACAAACAAGAGATATCATAGTGGATTGATTTGCCCTTCAAGTGAAACAGCGTTGTGTCAGACGATCTACTGCCAATTAATATTTTATCTGAAAATCCTAGGCTAGCAGGAAATATCGTGCAATAACCTCTGCTGAAAATTCTCTACATTATATAAACACTGTTTAGTATAAAACTAGTATTTAATTTAATTTTAGCTTTCTCGCTGATTGATTGGATAGAAGTGTTCAGCCTCCTTTGATAATAATGTCTCATTGTGCGGATGGTTAGACAGTGTCTAAGGATTTCGCTTGAAGTGATTTGGCCGATGGCGGCTAGCAGTGGAATTCGGCCAGAATGCACATTTCGTCCTATTTGGGACTCGTCTACTAGCTGAATGTACATGGATTCCCCAGTCAGTAATCGTGGGTTCGAGCCTAGGGATTCTTGGTATATCCAGATGAAAAGTCCCGAATAGGAGAAAAACGCATCCTGGATTCCACTGCTAGTCACTCTCCACTACATTACTTCAAGTTAAAGCTATTATTAGTACTGTCGAAAAGACCGATTGGAATGGGAAGAAAAGGCGATATTTTTGAAAAAATATTTAAAATAGTGTATACGTAAAAAAACCATATTTAATTCAATTTTAGATTTTCGCGTCGATTAATTGGACCGAAATGCTCGGTCTCAGGTTGACAGATCGGCTTCTAGTGCAGAAGCTTCTAGTCAAATGCCCAAGCATTGTCGAAGCATTGCCGAGCATTTTGGTCCAATCAATCAACGGGAAAATTCTAAAAATCCAATTAAATCACTCTGACCCATTGCACAAGAGGTGGCTGTCGTGGCCCAGGTGGTCAAGTGGATAACGATTAGGCGTTTGAAACTATGGCCGCTGGGTTCAAGCCTCGGTAGGAACATCATCATTTACGGTGGAATGCAGGTACATCCAACTGGCAGACGAGTCCCAAATTGGACGAAATGCTCATTCTGGCTGGATTCCACTGCTAATCACCATCCACCAATTAATTTCTAAAAAAGCATTTCATTTCCTTAAATATATATGACAAGAATAACTTCAAATTTATCTCTCCTAGAAGTTTCAATATTTAATCAATATTTACTATTCTGCAACATAAGGGTTGATTAGAGTTGGGATTAAGTTGGATTCAGGTTAAGGTAAGGGTTTACTAAAAACCCTTTTCTGGACAAAAAGTCACTTCTCATAAATCCCGGACAGCATTCAGTTACCAAAATACTCGACGCTATATCTCTGCTGCCTTGACTGTTCGCAGTGTCTCTGTTTCTGCGAAGACATTAGTACAGTCATTCTCTTGGGTAAGCATACTTTGATGTCAGCTTAGTACGCTTTCTGTATACATGTACGGACACTACAAGAATATTCTTGATTTAAGAATGGAATTAGGCAATTGATTAGACTTGCAAAAGTTGACAGTATATGCTACATAAGCTTAGAATAATTTCATTACGTAAAAGGACGACTTAGGACTCTGCAAGAACTGCTCCCGTCGACGCCAAGTAAAATCCTGAGTCGCATCATCGTGGAGAGAGAATAAAGGACGCACTGGGTACAGACCTCCGCCAACCAGAACAAGCTGGATTCAGGAAAATCAAGCAAATCATGGTCTGACCAAACTGCAACTCTACGCATCATCATCACAGAACAAAGCATGGAATAGCAATCAAACCTCTATCTCAACTTCATAGACTTTGAGAAGGCCTTCGACAGCGTTGACCGCGAAGTAATTTGGAAACTACTCGAGCAATACGGTGTACCTTAAATATTCATCAACCTTATTCAACAGCTGTACGACAACGGCACATGTCAAGTGATCCACAACGAAAAACTCAGCGAGGCGTTTGGAGTAAACACAGGAGTCAGACAAGGGTTCTTATCACCTATCACCAATGATATTCCTAATTGTGGTGGACTGGTTTATGCGTCAGACAGTGGGAAACGAGATTAAAGGGATATCCTGAACCGACGTGAAGGACCTAGAAGACCTGGATTTCGCCCGTGGATGATTTATGTTTGATGTCACACAAAATCGAAGACTTACAAGCGAAAACCGACCGACAAACTGGTCGAAGAAGAAGTAAAGGTGAACATAGGTGAACATAGACAAGACGGAGGTTATGAAAATAACCAACCAACAACAGCAGTAACATCCAGCGTCAATCACCATCCATGGGAGGGATTTGAAAGAGGTTACTTCATTCACTCATTGATTTATGGAGCATTGTCTCAACTGCAGGCAGTCGGAACGGACGAGGATGTCAAATCGAGCGAGAATCAGGAAGGCGAGGAACACATTCATCAACCTTAAACCAATTTGGAAATCTTCATCACTCAGCATCAGCAACAAAATTCGATCGGATTTTCAATACAAACGTCAACTCAGTCAGTTCTTCTATACGGATCAGAAACTTGGAGGGTCACAAAGAATATTTCCAAAAGGTTGCAGACCTTTATCAACCAACAACTGTCTTCGTTCTATACTGAAGATCAGGTGGCCGGGTCGGAAAGAATCTCCAACAAGAAACTCTGTCTGGGAACAAACAAAGCAAGAAGCAATCGCCCAACAAATATGCAGGAGAAAGTGGAGATGGATTAGATACCCTCTGAGGAGGCCGCTGGGTGACATCGCGCGTGCATCAGGCCATCGCTCGAGTGAAACCAGGCCGTAAAGGAAGCGGCGAGTGGGTTGTCAGTGTAGAGGTGGGTGACATGGAGGAGATGGTGTGAAGAGGAGTTGAAACAGTATGAACTAACATGGATGTAGGTGAAAAGTACAGCAGAAGCAAGACAGAAGCAAGTGGAGACATGCAGTTTTAGCCCTATGTTCCACTAGGAACCCAAGGAAACAATAATAATAAGAGGTGAGAAAAACTGTTCGGTTCGTGAGTATTGATAACGACAAAATTAAGGCTGTGAAATTACTTTATCAAAACTAATTGTCATCGAATTATCCAAATTAAAGTAACAGTATAGATTTTTAAGTGTTGGTCTGCAAGGATTTGATTGGTTACTTGACTTCTCCATGGACTGACATTGGCTAGGAAACCATTGAAAAGATAGCAGGGAGTATTTGACAACTGTTTCATCAGCCTAGTTTGGGACTCTTCAGTGGCACGCAACTGCCACCTGGTAACAAAACCCAGGCACTTACAGGTTTTAGGGCTGATGAGCTCGTAGACAATTAAGTCACTGGGATCTGATCCAATAGCCCATGAATTCCTACCTCTGCCAAATCACGATACAGCATGACCACTCGTCAACGTTATTGCCAAGCGCGCTATGTCGTGATTTGGCAGAATCGGCTTGGGTCCCAGCGGCTTAATGGTCAGTGAGCTCACCTTGTAACCCATAAGTTTCCGGGTTCGAATCCTGGTGTTGGTTGCCTACTACTGAAGAGTCCCAATCTATGACGAAGAAGCAATCCAGTCCTTCCTGGTTTCTCACCAGTTGTGTAAATGACATTGATTCATGATGAAATCTTCAATGAAATTAGTAGAAAATCCTTACTATAATCATAATTTAAAAATGTAAAAATATCTATCTTTAGAACAGTTTTGTGATTTCGCTTATTAAAACAATTTAATTCGAACATGTAATACTAATGGCTTTCACCTACATACCAATAAACTGAAACATGTGAATATTTTCAGTGCACTGATGTGTTAAAATTGCTTCAGGGAATTACTCAGTCGTTGGTAGTTAGCGGTGGAATCTAACAGCTGCATCTCGTCCCCTATAGGACTTGTTAAATGAATGTTTTTGTATTCCCTAGTGAGTACTGATTTTCCCATTAAGACAAAAACTCAACATCGCCTTGTTCGAAACCCTGAGGAATATTAAACATTCTAGGCATTCCTATCGGAGTATAGATCTTCTAACTTTGAAGTCTAAGTAACAGCAGCCTCATGCTGAGCACTTCTTCCCCGTTTGCTGAGCTCACTACCGCCTGGCAGTTTAAGTGAGATCTAGGATCTAGACTTCGACCGGAAATCACACATGGATCTTTCAGATGATAAAATAAAGATATCGCATTATCCTATTTTATGAGTTTGTCACCTTGGTGTTTTGTGTTAAAATTCTTTTTTTTTTGTGTTTTTCAAATGAAAATGCAGATACGTGGAGGAATGGAGAATATTTTTGAGAAACAATTCTATGGATACGAGTCGATGAAAAGTCTTGATGGACAAAGTTTATTTGCAGCTGTTGTAATGATAAATGTAAGTTGACATTGTCTGCCTATCACAGTTAGCATAAGCTGTAGCCAAACACAGATTTCACCTCCCTTACGTTTCTGTCAACATTATTATTGTTCCCTTTAGTTCCTACAGGAACATAGGGCTTCAGCCAAACGTCTCCATCGAGCGTTCGGTTCTCTGCCAACGTTTTCATCTAGCTCCACATCTGTCCACATGCTTTCATCTCCTCCTCACATGACCTCCTCCAAGTCACCCTCGGACGACAAACTCGCCGCTTCCCTTTCGGCCAGGTTCAACTCGAGCAATGGCTTGTCTAGTGACGTCACTTGATGGTTTCCCCAGAGTATGGCCAATCCATCTCCATTTCTTCCTGCCTATTTGTTTCACAATCGGTTCCTGATTGGTTCGCTCATTCCCAGAGATCCCTGTTGCTTACCTTTTCTGGCCATCTCATCTTGAATAGCGCTGAGCAAAGATAGCTGTTGATGCAGGTCTGCAGTTTGTTCGAAGTGTCCTTCATGATGCACCAAGTCTCTGATACATAAAGTAGCACTGACTTCACATTGGAGTTGAAAATTCGCATTTCATTTCTCATGCTGATAAGTGCTGTTGATCTCCACACAGACTTGAGGGAAATGAATGCTTGGCTTGCTTTCCCGATCCTCGCGCTTTGATATCCTCATCACTTCCGTCCACCTGTAGTTGAGACCATACTTCCCAGGTAGTTAGGTGAAGGAGATTGCTTCTTTCAGATTTCTACCAGTTATGCTGATTGTTGTCTGTTGTTGTTGCTGTTGATGTTGGCTGGGAATCTTCATCATCACCTCTGTTTTCTCACTGTTCACCTGAAGTCGTATCTTCTCTGGATGCTTCTTCTGCCAACTTGTTGCTTTTCACTTGCATATCTTCCAATTTGTGGGAAATTGGACATGTATCACATCGACAAAGTCCAGATACTCCAAATTTTTGTGTGGGTTCGTTTTATGCCTGTTTCCTCGCTGCCTGCTGCTGTCTGTTGCATTATCCAGTTTACCACAATCAAAAAAATCAACATGAATGACGAGTTAATTGCGTTTTGAACTTTCTCAGGCAGTAAGTCTAATATGATTGTGAATTATCTACTGAGAGAAAGGCTGTGATTACAGCAGATGTTACGTCTGATTGTTTTAAAGGTGATTTATTGATTTTCCACTCTGCTGTACTATGTACGGAAACGCCTAGTGACTACTTTTGTCCTCATAACTGAATTGTGTTAGCTAAGTTTTCAGTATTGTTGCTAGGCTAGATGAATCACCTTCGTCCTGAATTTCGAAGAACTGATATTGAAAAGTTGATGTTGGGTGAAAGGAAGCCAATGCTATTTTTCACTAGAAACATTTGAACTCAGTCACTACTAACGGAAAAAAACTTGAAGGGGTCACTTCCCCACTTATTAGAGAAGCATCGTTTCAACTACAGGCAGTCGAAATGGTTGAGGATGTCAAAATCAGAATCCGAAAGGTAAGTAAAATTTGGATATTTTCTTCACTCCACAGCGTAATAAACGAAATTTGGGTTTTCAGCACCAATGTTTAGTCAGTTCTCCTTTATTGTGATTCAGGAACTTAGCGCGTTTTGAGTAGCATTTATAGCAACCAGATGTAGACTTCTATCAACAGCTGCCTTCACTCCATACTGAAGGTCGAATGGGTACGAAGAATCGGCGTCAAGGAACTCTGGGAGCAAAGAAATCAAGAACCCATTGCTCAACATATATGCGGAAGGAAATGCAAGCGGATCGGATGCACACTGAGGAGACCATCGAATGAGATCACTTCCAATGCAAAATAACAATGGATTTTGTGTCCTTATTGGTTTCAAAAATTTCTAGCTGAATGGTAATGTGCTGACTGTATGAATGAGCGGACAAACTTGAGTTTCACTACCTTATTTACTGTTCTTCCTAAACAGTGATGACGAATGTAGCTGTCAACTCCGTAACCGCGAGATCAGAACCTAATTAAATTTGTGGTTGAAACTTGAAGCGTTCAGAGCAAATAATGTACATATAATGGGAAACGAAAACATAAGCAGGATTCCTAACAAATCAGGACAAGGGAGGCATTCAAAGCCGAAAAGTTACTCAGCGAGAAAACTATGTGGGCTAAAAGCCCATATTGGCTCAATTAAAAATAGCCTCTTGATGTGGTTGTGTTTTCTGAGCTGGATAAATAATTTGCGCACCTTTCATCGCCCTACTAGGCGAAATCTCCAGCGCATACTTCAATTAACTGAAGTGAGCTTATAGATTTGTCTACGAGTCTATTAGTCATCTCTCCTGGTGGTGAACTTCAACGTGATTGGTTGTTTTTGTGAGTTTTCACACCTTCTCAATTACTTGTATTGGAACTGATTGTTTCTTTGACTTGCACTTTGACCCTTTGTGTGTGGGGTTTCATTTTTGTCAGTTGATAAATTTTGTCTATCTCGATGTGTCTATTGATTGACGATTCACCGGAATACCAGTCTGGCTTCTAAAAATTCTCTAGAATTCTTGGTGTTTCCTCTGTTAATTATTTGAACGTTGATTGTCCCAGTCGAATCGATGTCCGTGGTTGTCTGTATGTAGTGATATGAGGGAGTGGATATCATCTCTCTTGACGGCTAGCTTATGTTCGTGGATACGAAGGCGAAGGAGATGTCCACTTTGGCCAATGTACTGTTTTTCGCAGTCTTTGAAACATATTTTGTAGACGATGTTGGCTTTATCCTCATTCGTTGTTGAGTCTCTTGGCTGACACAGAACCAGCTGAGTGAAGCGATTTTGTTGGTTTGTGTTCGACATTAATTCCTGAAGATTTGAAGAGTCTTGCAGTGATATCTGAGATGTTATCTCTCATATATGGTAGGGTGATTTTCTTTGTGCTTTCCTTGGAAACCTTTGATTTGGTGGGCAAGCCTGGGTGTACACGTCTTCTGATGAAATTGTGCGAATATCCATTCTTTTGGAAGACGTTCACGAGATATCTTTCTTCAATTTTCTTCAAGGTGGGAGTGCTGCACTGAGTCCTGGTTGGCCCTCTTGAATAATGTTTCTTCACAATTCCTTTTGTGTGTTATTGGATTGTTGCTGTTGTATTTCAGTATTTGGTCTGTGTGAGTTGATTTTCCATAAACGTGAGTTTCTAACTCCCCTGTGGTTGCTCGCTTGACTGAGACGTCAAGAAATGGGATTTTGTTCTCGGATTCCCCCTCTCTTGTGAATTTGATGTCGTCTTAGACGTTGTCTATTAATTTATGAGTTTTACCCAACTCATTTCTTTTGATTATTACAAATGTGTCATCTACGTAACGACTCCAAATTTTGGGTTTGATCTTTGGTAGGATTATGATTTCAAGTCTTTGCATTACTGCTTCTGCAATCAAAAGCCTAATATTCAAAATACCTTGTAGTGACCATAAGGTTGATTATATAGGTCAGTCCATTTGGTAAAGTTCAGACTCTGAGATCAGGAACATGGAAAATATTATTACCAGTAGAACCAACTGATAGGACATAATGTGTTATGCCTAAGAGTTACAGATTTGTAGTGATCATCTAACTTTGGTTTAACGAGCCTCCAGACACGACGCTATAACGAACTGATCACTTGAGAATGTATCTCACGCTGAGATAGACAAGAAAAGTTAGCTACAAATGCGGCAACATTTTATTATTCAAAACACATTGTACTTCAGTTTATAATTAGTTTACAAAACCCCAGGAATTGAAGCTAAAAAGAAAAGAATCATAAAACTGTTCAATCAGGTTACCATTTCACTGCATGAATAAATCATGACTTTACAGAAGACGGGGATAGCTTGTCTGTCTTAGCTTAATGGGATTACGTTAACAAACTTTGAAAGTTATATGAGCCCTTTGATAGTGAGTGCTTGGGAAAGAATCATCACTAAAATAAATAACTTTGTTTCGCTTTGTGCCTTCACCAAAATAAAATTATTCTGTGGTAGGTCGTTTTTTTCATTTAATGAATTTCGATTAAGCTTTTACCATACAAGGATTCTAATAAGTGGGCTCAACATTTAGTGAGTTGCTTAATAGCCAGTTTGACAGACATCTTGTTCAAGAATTTGCATTATTCTAAATATTCTTAGTTATGTTGATTATGTACTTCAGGCTCTTCTGTATGAATGCACTTTCCTATTCGTCTCAGTGGATGTTATGAGTTAATTAGACGGCTAGGTAGAGGAATAAACTCTTTGATTGGATACTAGTAACTAGTGTGATGTGTCTAGTCCTATGTTTGTTTGGTGCAGACTGAATTCCATCAGTCAGGTTTGCAATGTGGCCACCATTCTAGGTAGCTCGCTAACACGGTGCAAATTGATTTGATTTGGTATTATATGGTTAAAGGCAATCGGCAGGAAGTCTTGTTTGACCTAGGTTTCGTGCTAGTTGGCACTTACCAGTTAGTCAGCAAGGCGCATCTGCAGCCTTGAAGGAACTCATGTCCCTTCTGAGATTCGAAATCCCATCACCTCGTGCCGCCTGCAGTCGGAGGGTGCGCGACTGACCTCCTGCAGATACGCCTTCTGACTGGTGAGTGCCCGCTGGCACGAAACCTAGGTCAAGTAGGGCTTCCTGCCGATTGTTTACAACCATCTAATACCATCAAATCAATGTGTACCGTGATGGCGAGCTACTTAGAATGGTGACCACATTGCCAACCTGACTGATGGAATTCAGTCTGCACCAAACAAACAGAGGACTAGACACATCACACTAGTTACTAGTATCCAATCAAAATATCCACTACAGTCTTACAGGAGGTCAATCGCGAACCCGAATAGCTCAGTGATAATATCTCTGACTTGAGGCGGCACTGGATGACGCGGTTTCGAATTTCAGAAGGGACATGAGTTCCTTCAAGGCTGTTGATACACCTTGCTAAGGAGTGCCAAATAACACAAAACCTAAATCCAAGACTTCCTTGCCGATTGACTCCAGCCATCTAATACCATAGAATGAACCCTTTATTACAGAGCGTTTGTGAAGGACAGTAGATATTTCTGTATGAATTCAGCTATAACACTTTAGAGCGCTTCAAATAGGAAGCTTTCAAAGCTACAAATTAGGAACTAGAAGAAAAGTTCTCAATACACTAAATCCCTGTCTACTATAATAAAAGAGGCTGGTTAAAACGTTTCTGAACACTGCGACACCGAGAGGCAGCTGTCGTGTATTTTCTGGATTTTAGTGGGGGGTATGAAACATGAGGTTAAGTTTTTGTGTCTCAGTGGAAAAGAACTCCATCAGTCGCTCTAAAGGCAGGCGTCGGTGGCACAGTGGTTAGGACTCTCGCCGACCATGCATGTGGTCCGGGGTTCGAGCCCCCGCCGACGCCTTGTTCGGCCTGCAAAATTTGGGCTACCGATATCATATGCTGAAAATTCCATACTTGTACAGAAAATACAGTGTGGAATCAAGCTGTAATCAAAAATAAAAAAAATAAATACATCCATCTGAGAAGTTCCGCATGGGAGAAAATGGGCATGTCAGATTCCACCGATAGTCATCATCAACCAAATGCAGTAAGCATTTATAATCAGATATCATCGAAGCGTCGTTACAAAGAACTTATGTGTCAATATCGACCGAGTACTTCAGTTTTAAAAATAATCAATCAATACGAACCGAATATAAGTATTTCTATGTTTGACATTTCAAAAGTTTATTCCGTCTCTTTTGTGTATTCCAACCTTTCTTGGTTTTCTATTTACACAGTTGAAATGTTGTGGATTCAGAGATGCCTCAGATTTCAATGACGTCAAGATGTCATATGAAGATAGATATGATGGTCGTGACTACACCAGTGAGTAGTTAAAAGATTTTTATGCAAATGATGCCTTTTCCCCTGATCTTAAATGATGAAACACGCATATTAATATATCTGTAAAACTTGGACACTGTGGTAGTAAGTAATTCCATATTCCTTTGCTGATTAGATGTATCACACAGTCAGTGAAACAGTATTATTATTTACTGAATGACAAGGTTTCGAACACAATTTATTTCTGTTCATAATCATACCAATCAATTATTATCACACGACTTCGAAACTTGAGTTTTGTAGTTTGCTTTGTTCTCTCTTATTCGTCGTCGTTAGGATAACAGAATTTTGCAGATGCCTTGGTGGATAGGTGTTGAATCATTCCTATTACACGTATTCTCAGCCAATTGATTCGCTAAACAAGGCTTCCGTTATCAAACTCTCCCTTCATTCACCTTGTGACATTAGATTTTAAAACTGTCATCTTATCCCGTCTATCTTGTTGATTGGTTATGTGTAACTGCTTGTAGTGAGTGCTGTGGTTGAACTATTCTCTAGCTTTCCTATCTTATTCAGGTCAACTAATCTAGATTTTGCTGCTAGGCTTTCTGCTCACCTAGTCTGACTGACTGCACCTGTTCTACTACTTTGACCTATGCATTTGACGTGATAATCATCAAAGAGAGGGTATTGTTTTGTCTGATGGGCTCCACAGGATTGATGCTGTAACTGACAAAGATTGTTTCTAATTAAGTTTGTGGGGAGGGGGGTTGAGAATTCTGCATAAGGTTTCCGAGGTTTCTTCCTTGTACAGGAGGAATTACTAATGATGGTTTAGATGCCTTGTTGTTGGTGTGGTCTCGCGCATGTTTGAAATGCATGTCATCATTAATGTTACTATTATTATTATTATTATTATTATTAATGGTTTCTGACTCTTTCAATTTATCTGTGTAATTAGTATCTCAAGGCCATTCAATATATATATATATATATATATATATATATATATATATATTGAATGTAAGTAAGCGCTGTCAATCATTTTCACTGTTGGTACGAGACAGTAAGAGCTGTCCACGTCGACAGCCTGACCTTTCTTCTTGTCTACTTTCGTCGCTTTTCAATGAGAAGAAGAAGATTCCTGGCCAACACCAACAGCAACAACAACAGACAACAATCAGCATAAATGGGAGGGACCTGAATGAAACAGCCTCCTTCACCTACCTGGGAAGCATCGTTTCAACTACAGGCGAACGGAACTGACGAGGATATCAAAGCCAGAATCGGAAAAGCAAGACAAGCTTTCATTACTCTCAAGTCTGTATGGAGGTCAACAGCACTCAGCATCAAAACGAATATAAGATCTGGATTTTCAACTCCAATGTGAAATCATTGCTACTATACGGGTCAGAGACTTGGCCAGTGCGTCATAAATTGTATCTCAAACAAACTACAGACCTTCGCTAACAGTTTTCTTCGCTCAATACCCAAGATCAGATGGCCGGCCAGAAAAAATCAGCTTCAAGGATTTCTGGGAGCCAACCAACACAGTAGGAACCAATTGTTCAATAAATAGGCAGGAAGAAATGGAGATGGACTGGCCATACTCTGAAGAAACAAACCATCAAGTGATATCACTAGACAAGCCATTGCTCGAGTGGAACCTGGCCGAAAGGGAAGCGGCGAGTTGGTCGTCAGTGTGAGGGTGACTTGGAGGTGGTCATGTGAAGAGCAGATGAAAGCATGTGGGCACACTTAGAGCCAGGTGAAAACTCTAGCAGAGAACCGAAGGCAATGGAGACGCGCAGCTGAAGCCCTATGTTCCTCTAAGAATTAAAGGATATAATAATAATGATATCATGTCCAAGTTGCTAGTACTGGTTAGAACACTGGGCTCACGAATCGACTAAATGGGAAATTCGTTAGCGCAACTAAAATGGATTAACAGTCATATCAGCTGGTTAGCGTTTCTTGAAAGTGTTTTGGATTTTTTTATTTTTTAAATTTCACTTTCAGATGTCGTAACTGCTGTACCCTGTTGTCATATGAATGATGACTTACAATTGAAGGATAAAGATTGTCCAATATCAGGATCTCCAGATACATATTATATTGATGGATGTAAAGAACCATTCAGTAAGAAAGCTTTCCAAGTTATAGCATTATTAGCATATGCTTCAATTCTATTGATTGTGGTCAATGTAAGTGTTTTTCTTTGGTTATTTTGTTTTTGTACACACTTATTTTCTTTTTCTTTTCCTTCAGGTTCCCACTGGAACATAGGGCTTCAAGCTAGTGGCTTGAAGTTACTGTAGCAGTGTTGAATTTTACAGGATGGGGTTGCTACCCTCATGCCAAACCTTTCCTCTTTGCCACACTTGTTTCTGGCTTAGCGAGATAAAGGAGTGCGTCGGTGGCCAGGGATCGAACCGCGAACCTTGTACATGGTCGGTGAGCGTCCTAACCGCTGTGCCTCCGACGCAGTGTACACACACACTTTAATGTTGTTTATTCCTGTTTAGTATTCAATGATATTGTGATTACCTCGAGTTACAAATGGGAGAATAAGGCTTCAGCATTGCATCGCTGTTTCACAGTGTTCTCTGCAGTCTTCTATAGCTGACCACATGATAAATTATAAGCTTTCCTTCCCCTGGTTTATGCTCAACAGCTTGCTTCTTATTCGGGTTTCATTCGAAGGTCTACTTTGGCGTGTGATGTCACTCAGCAGTCTCCCCAGTGTACTTCTGCATATTTGTCAGCAGATAGGCTACGTGTTGGGGATACTTTTTCGTTTACAATTTCTAACTGACCATCTGAACTTCAGTATCAAACCGAAGAAGGTAACTGTCGATGAAAGTCTACAGTAAAGTGTCCAGAATGCTTTAAATGGCGCGCGCAATAAGTTTGGGGACTGTATAAACAAAACTGATTTGATACTGGTGTTGAAAATCCGAATCTTCAAGGACTGGTTCTTAGGGATTTGGTTGATTGGTTACAGGATTTCATTATGAGCTGACATTGGTTAGGGAACCACTGGAAAACCACCTAAGAGTACAGCCAGACAGCTGTTTCGTCTTAGTTTTGGGACTCTTCATCAGTAGGCAACCACCACCGGGGTTCGAACCCAGGGCCTTCTAGTCACAAGGCCAACGAGCTAGCTCGTAGACCATTCATCAGCCACTGGGTCCCCACTTAATGGCTTGTGAATTCTAATCTCTGCCAGTTCACGATATAGCGCAACCGCTAGCCAATGTCTTCGGTGGCGACTTTTTGTCCCCACACCTGACCTGCTACATCCTACTGGTCACGACTTCCCACTAGAACCCTAAGTGGGAACCAATGTTACCTCATGATGAAATCCTGTAACCAATCCGAATCTTGTTCTTCATGTTGAGTTAGGGTAAAGTGGGGAAGTTGTTTACAATCAGAAGGTGGATACGAGAGCAATATTCTGCTTTTACTTAGGTCCTCCTCAGGGTTTTACTCTAATACGCACAGAGCTTTAATGAATGATACAGCTTTGAGAGTCCGTGATACCTTAAATAATATAAATTATGCAGACAGATGTTTTTCAGTGGACTAACAGTAGAATCCTCGTCAACCGTGCACATGGTCCAGGGTTCTGTCGCCAGTCGATGTACTTCAAAACCCCACTTCACCGGTAGTAAGCCAGACAAATATGTTTGGTTAGGCCCTAGGCTAGGATAGCCGTCTTACTCCTTAGAAGAAATACCATGGCTACCGAAACTTCAAGCCTCTAGCCTGAAGCACTGTGTTCCGCTGGAAACGTAAAGGAATAAAATATTCATAATAATAATAATAATTTACTTTATTCCGAAAACAGTACATATAATACAGAATGAAATTTTCAGCATTTGTCACAAAATATTGCATCTAATTTACTCAGAATAACGCTAATAAAATTAGCTACAGGAGTGTCAACATTTACGGTAGGAATAAAGTCATAGTTGTGCAAAGTTAAGAATGAGAACTTTAATAATAATAATAATAATAATAGCAACGACAGTGGGTTTGTTTCAAACAGTATTGTCGATACAATCAGTAGGGAAATTTTAGCGTGTTATAGAGGTATTGAATCTAATGTTCTCTTGATATAGTATGGTGAAGGGAAACACAAAAGAGTAGCAATTATTGCAGAGTTTAAGTAATGTAGACATGACAAAGAAGACTTGTAGCTCAGGTGCGTGGATTTGATATATTTGGCCAAATATATGAACAAGTTAAAGGAACACTTATGGGATCGCCAATATCAGGTTTGATTGCAGAAGCAGTTATGCAAAGACTTGAAATCATAATCCTACCAAAGATCAAACGAAAGATTTGGATACGTTAGGTAGATGACACATTTGTAATAATCAAAAGAAATGAGTTGGGTAAAACTCATAAATTAATAGACAACGTCTAAGACGACATCAAATTCACAAGAGAGGGGGAATCCGAGAACAAAATCCCATTTCTTGACGTCTCAGTCAAGCGAACAACCACAGGGGAGTTAGAAACTCACGTTTATGGAAAATCAACTCACACAGACCAAATACTGAATTACAACAGCAACAATCCAATAACACACAAAAGGAATTGTGAAGAAACATTATTCAAGAGGGCCAACCAGGACTCAGTGCAGCACTCCCACCTTGAAGTAAACTGAAGAAAGATATCTCGTGAACGTCTTCCAAAAGAATGGATATTCGCACAATTTCATCAGAAGACGTGTACACCCAGGCTTGCCCACCAAATCAAAGGTTTCCAAGGAAAGCACAAAGAAAATCACCCTACCATATATGAGAGATAACATCTCAGATATCACTGCAAGACTCTTCAAATCTTCAGGAATTAATGTCGAAAACAAACCAACAAAATCGCTTCACTCAGCTGGTTCTGTGTCAGCCAAAAGACTCAACAACGAATGAAGATAAAGCCAACATCGTCTACAAAATAAGTTGCAAATACTGCGAAAAACATTACATTGGCCAAAGTGGACATCTCCTTCGTCTTCGTATCCACGAACATAAGCTAGCCGTCAAGAGAGATGATATCCACTCCCTCATATCACTACATACAGACAACCACGGACATAGATTCGACTGGGACAATCAACGTTCAAATAATAAACAGAGGAAACACCAAGAATTCTAGAGAATTTTTAGAAGCCAGACTGGTATTCCGGTGAATCGTCAATCAATAGACACATCGAGATAGACAAAATTTATCAACCGACAAGAATGAAACCCCACACACAAAGGGTCAAAGTGCAAGTCAAAGAAACAATCAGTTCCAATACAAGTAATTGAGAAGGTGTGAAAACACACAAAAACAACCGATCACGTTGAAGTTCACCACCAGGAGAGATGACTAGTAAGCTCGTAGAGAAATCTATAAGCTCACTTCGGTTAATTTAAGTGTGAGCTGAAGATGTTGTCTAGTAGGGTGATGAAAGTTTAAATGATGTTTGCACTTATGAGAAAAAAAATGAAGTGAGACGATTATAAATATAAGAAGAATAATAACAGTGAAGCTTAGTGGAATAATAATTATTATTATTGTATCCTTCAGTTCCTGGAGGAACATAGGGCTTCAGCTGCGCGTCTCCATTGCCTTCTGTTTTTTGCCAACTTTTTCACCCCGCTCCAGGTCTGTCCACATGCTTTCATCTCCTCCTCACATGACCTCCTCCAAGTCAACCTTGGACGACCAACTCGCCGCTTCCCTTTCGGGTTCCACTGGAGCAATGGCTTGTCTAGTGATGCCACTTGATGGTTTCTTCAGAGTATGGCCAGTCCATCTACATTTCTTCTTGCCTATTTGTTGAACAATTGGTTCCTACTGTGTTGGTTCGCTCCCAGAGATCTTTGTTGCTGATCTTTTCTGGCCATCTGATCTTGGGTATTGAGCGAAGAAAACTGTTAGTGAAGGTCTGTAGTTTGTTTGAGATGCACTTTATGACTGGCCAAGTCTCTGATCCGTATAGTAGCACTGATTTCACATTGGAGTTGAAAATCCGGATCTTATTTTTGATGCTGAGTGCTGTTGACCTCCACACAGATTTGAGAGTAATGAAAGCTTGTCTTGCTTTTCCGATTCTGGCTTTGATATCCTCGTCAGTTCCGCCTGTAGTTGAGACGATGCTTCCCAGGTAGGTGAAGGAGGTTGTTTCTTTCAGGTTCCTCCCATTTATGCTGATTGTTGTCTGTTGTTTTTGTTGTTGCTATCGCTGGTGGACAGGAATCTTCATCACCTCTGTTTTATCTATGTTCACGTGAAGTCCTATCTTTGATGCTTCTTCTGCCAACTTGTTACTTTTCACTTGCATATCTTCCAGTTTATGGGAAATCAGACATATATCATCGGCGAAATCCAGATCCTCCAAGTCTTTTGTGTCAGTCCATTTTATGCCTGTTCCCTCGTTGGTTGCCGTTGTCTGTCGCATTATCCAATCAATTGCAATCAGGAAGATCATTGGTGATAGTAGACAGCCTTGCCTCACTCCCGTCCTCACTTCGAAGGCTTCCGTAAGTTTCCCGTTGTGGATTACTTGGCATGCAGCATTGTCGTATAACTGTTGGATGAGATGTATAATTGTCGATGGGACCCCGTAGTAGCGAAGTAGTTTCCAAATGACCTCTCGATCGACGCTGTCGAAGGCCTTTTCAAAGTCGATGAAGTTGAGATAGAGAGGTGACTGCCATTCCAAGCTTTGTTCAATGATGATCCGTAGAGTGGCGATTTGATCAATACATGAATCCAGCCTGTTCCGGACGAAGTTTTTCATCTAGGGCTTGTTTGATTCTCTCCAGGATGATGCGACTTAGTATCTTGCTTGGAATGGACAGAAGCATAATTCCACGCCAGTTTTTACATTGACTTAAGTCTCCTTTCTTTGGAAGTTTGAATAAGTATCCTTTCTTCCAATCCTCGGGTACTTTGCCCTCTTTCCACACCTTCTCCAGCAGTGGTGTCATCAAGTCCGCTGTTGTCTCTGGGTCTATTTTCAAAGCTTCTGCTGGGATTCCATCTGGTCCCGGTGTTTTCCCAGCTTTAAGCATCTTGATTGCATTCAGGACTTCTGATTTCGTCGGGGGGTCAGTGTTCACTGGTAGTTCTGCTTCCGTTGTTGGTATTGTTGGGCGTGTTGTAGGTGGCGGACGATTTAGAAGTCTTTTGAAGTGTTCAGCCCAGTGCTTTCTCTGTTCCACCTCTTTGGTGATTGACTTTCCATTGTCGTCCTTTATTGGCTTAATCTGTGTCGAACGTTTGCCCGAAAGGTTCCTAGTTGTTTGGTAGAGTGTGGCGAGGTCTCCTTTGCCTGCAGCTTGTTCTGCTTCGTTTGCCATGGTTTCATAATATTTTCTTTTGTCTTCCCTGGCACTCTTCTTCACTCTTTTGTTCAGTGTATTGTAGCTTGCATTCAGCTCCTGTTTTTGTTGCTCGTCGTGCACTGGATAATCTTTTGTTTCACTGTCCTTCTCTCTTCTATTAGTTTCCAAGTGTCCGTAGTGAGCCACTGTTTGTCCTGTCTCTTTTTTCTGCCTAGAATTTCTATGCAGGTTTGGCTCCACACCGTTTTCAAGTTGTTCCAGTGCTTTTCGACGCCGACCTCTTCGCTAGTGTTGATTTGTGTCTCGGCTTTGTCCTTTATGCTTGCAATGAAGATGTCCTTTGTAGCCTGGTCCTTCAGCTTTTGAGTGTTGAACTTGGCTTGTGGTCTATCTGCAGCTCCTGATTCCCTGAAAGCTTTTAATTTGATTTGGATTGTCCCTTGTACGAGATAGTGGTCTGAGCCAACGTCTGCTCCTCTTCTTGCTTTTGTGTCCAGTAGGCTGCGCCTCCACTTCCTTGAGATTGAGATGAAGTCGATTTGGTTTTTGGTTTGCCCGTCTGGTGACACCCATGTAGCCTTGTGGATATCTTTGTGCTTGTATACACTGCCACCAATCACTAGTTCGTTGAAGGCGCAGAAGTCGGCGAAGAGTTCTCCGTTTTCATTCATTTCTCCTAGAGCTTCTCTACCCATGATGAGTTCCCTTCCTGTGTTGTCTGGTCCCAGTTTGGCGTTCATGTCTCCCATTAGTATTTTCATGTCGCCAGCTGGAGTATTGTCCATTGTTGCCTGTAGTTGCCTGTAGAATTCTTCTTTCTTTTCGAGGTCTGCGTTGTTTGTGGGTGCATAACATTGTATGATTGACACTTTCCTTCCTTTGGAGTTGAATCTGGCGGTCATTATCCTGGACGAAATCGCCTCCCATTGTATCAGGGCTTTCGTTGCCGTTGGTGACATCATGATAGCCACGCCCTCGGTGTGCGTGTGGTTATCTTCTGGGTGACCGGAGTAGATCACTGACTCACCCGTTGACAATTTGGTGAGTCCACTCCCATTCCATCTGCTTTCACATATTCCCAGCACTTGTATTCCGTATCTTTTCATCTCGTTGGCGATCTGGGCAGCTTTCCAGTCTCGTACATAGTTCGGACGTTCCATGTTCCCACACAGACTTTTTCTTTTGGTGCAAAGAGGTTCATTATGCTGAAGTTTCTGTAGCAATTTTGTTTACAGGGTGGGGTTGCTAGCCTCACGCCTGAGAAAGGAATGATTACATTAAGTAAAGTTTAGAGAGAAGCAACTTTTTGGGTTGCTCCCCTCAAAATCAGAAAATAACGGACAAACAATGAGAACAACATCAACAAAGGAAACAGTTCACAGAAAAAGGGCAAAAAGCGACAACAACTATACAATACACAACATGCAATATAGTTCAGTACAGTTAACTAAAATGATATCTCAACCATAAACTCACTGACTTGGAGCAACTTGAACATGTAAATCCAACAATATATACAATTATAGATGTGTTTATGTTTAAAAATTCCACAAATCCAAATAGTTAGTTATATGTATTATCTGTCAATGAGATTGTATCCCCGGATTTAGTGTTCGAAAGGTAAATAATTGTGATAGTTTCCACAAACTCTTGGCATGAAGTTTTACAGAAACGAGAGTGGAATAAGGATGGCGAAAATTTTTTATGTATTAATGCAAAGATGGTTAGTTAGTTAGTTAGTTGGTTTACCCCTGAAACTATTTTCATTACATAAAATACTTGCCACCAAATATGTTATGATGGAACTTTTTTACTAAGATGTGCGCTCATAGTTTTTTGATGAAATGACTTCTTGTTCTATCTGAAGAGGTGATGCAATGTGAATACTGCGGATGCTACGGTGGATGCTCACAGTCTGACAAAATCCCTTTGGCAAATTTACTTATTGAAATCAAGCGCCTATTAGTGACAATGTCGACGA